ACTTCGTGGGCTATCCTTGGTAGCCAGGTCGCTGCTGCTAAAGAGCTACACCGCTCGATGGGCCTTACCTGGTAAAATAAAAAAAAGTTTATTTTTACACGCTTTTATTTAACCTGTCTGTTGTCGTATCCTCAAAAATTATTCTAACTAAATTTTTACCTACTTCCCAATGTGATTTCAACTGCAAACTTGGTCATACCGATGACAAGACTATATTATATTATTACAATTTAAATTTAATTTTTTACATTTTACACGTTTTATTTTATTTAACTCACTGTCTGTTGTATCCTCAAACCTTGTAACTCAATTTCAACCGTATCGACTGCAAACTTGGAGTAGGTATATCATACTGATGACAATACTATATTCTATCATTGAAAAAAAATTAACAATCTTTTCTACGGCTCTAATTGTTTACACTCAACTCACGTTGGCTGTAAATCTGCAGACAATCATCTGACCCATAGGTGGCAGCCATCTCAAGCCAGAGGACGAGAGGACTCTAGCCGCCACGCATATAAAGGATTTAGAGTGAAAAACTTTGTTTTTACGGGTTATACTTATTAAATCCTTTATATTAAGTTCGCTTGCTTGCTTAGGACCGTGCAAATCTTTCGGTCGTTTTTTAACCCACTTCCCGTGATCCAATCGAGCTGACATTTTGCACACAGACTCGTTGTGCGTGACAATGCATTTTCGTGAGAGAAAAAAAATTCCAAAATTTTACACTGTTTAGGGAAATTTTTTAAAATATTTAATTACCAATTGTTTAATGCTGCCAGACAATCATCTGACCCATAGGTGGCAGCCATCTCAAGCCAGAGGATGAGAGGACTCGACCCGCCCGATGCCACGCATATAAAGGATTTATAGTGAAAAACTTTGTTTTTACGGGTTTACTTGTTTAATATTTTATAGTCAGCTGTGAACAAGCGGTGTCGGTGCACGTGCTGTGTGCTTGGGTGGAACTCTGCGTTCAGTGTTTGGGGGACGTTGACGAAGCCCCTGTATGCTGGCGCGTTTTGACGATTGTTTATGCAGAGAGGCACCGCGGATCGAATCCAGCGGCCGCCCTGGTTATCACTGCGCGTCGTGCGTTCATCGTGGGCCCACGTGCCCCGTTGCCTTCACAGTGGCCGTTGTGTCCCGGCGTTAGCGGTCTAAATTCCGCCGAATGCGAAAAGCGTTGCACCGCAATTGATTCCACTCTGAGATGATAACGTAGCGACCATCAGCCCATGACTGTCAACGCCTGGCAGGACCCTCCTGAAAAAGATTCGCGAGACTCGGCGAGGCTTCCCTGAGTAAGCAAGTTTGAAAGTCTTCTTGGTTCTTTCGGTAAAGTCACGTAGAAGGGAAGTAATAAAATAATAAAAATAAAACATAATAAAATAATTCTCACGACGTTTCGGCCACAACGCAAGCAGCCGTCCTCAGGTGAAAACCAGGTCCGTCGAGGCGACAGAGTCTGAATGAAACAGTACACGAGCTTGGAGCATATATATAAGCTGGGTGCCTTGACAAAGGAATTTGCATATCAAGAGGAATTTAGCATATTTATGGGAAATGCAGGAATGTGATTAGTACTACATATGCATGTGCATTATGCAGAAAGTAACAACAAAAATAATAAAGGGTTGTGTGTCTTTGCAGGCTGTAGCGTAACCGGTGGTGTGGCCGTTCTCTGCTGCCTTTTTGAGGTCACTGCCACTTGAATCGGTTTTCTCCTAGAACGGCGTTTCCGTCGACTATAAAATCCACCATCACAAGAGGCGCTTTGTATCCTTGCACAGGGAGAGGGGTCTGCAGGCCGCTCGTGTCTCCTCTGTGCATGGGGCGTGAATGGGGTCACGTCCGTAACGCCCCTGGTGTTTTGGCTTCATCCGAGGTCGTAAATCGACGGTAGAGTCATCGCCTTGCATCATTCTGGGTGCTTACTCGCGGCCGGCAAATAAGTCTGACGTTTTTTTTTTTTGCGCAACTAATCGTACAACCGCACGAGCGCGATTGTTGTTTCACGAGAGAAATGCAACGGAGAGTGACACGCCGAGTGGCTGTTCCATTCACAGATGTGCAGTTGCCACCGTCCATGGCAAATTTTGAGCGATGGGAATAACAAAAACGATGCGAATGAGGACGACGATGATAATAAGGACGTAACGGCGTCCGCTCGCTCTCGCACAGAGAGGACGAACCGCACAGGAGGGAAAGGCAGCCACGTGGTGAGCCAGTGCCAAAATTCCCCCGCCCAAGTTCTGCAGTTCACTGTGTGTTCAGCTGTTATTCGTCAATTCACACCCCCCGATTAACACCGTTGGTTACGCACAGCGCGAAAGAAGTTTCAACGCGTACATGCAATTAATGTTTGCACGAGGAAGGACACCGGAGCGCCTGGAGAAAAACCACGCGTGCGAGGGGGCAACACACGACCCGATTAGGTCCAGGAGGGGTGGGGGGTCCGCATTGGCTGCGTCGTCTTCTGCCGAAGCCAGGGTATGGCACCACCCCGATGCCCACAGGAAAGGAGTTTCACAACATTAGTCGTGCACCAACCCTCGCTACCGGGTTAGTGCCACGCGCATGGGACACCACCGGCCAACGACAACATAACTCATAAACAAACGCGGGTCTGTTTATAAAATAACATTTAAGTCCATCAGCGCAATCGACCACTCCCCACACTAATATCTTGCAGCAGCGCGTGTTCAACAGGCAGGCAAAGCCTGGGACTGCTTTCAACTTTGTCGAGTCTGCTCCTTGGGTTGCCCGATTATCCAAGGCAGCAGCTGTCTTCAGGCACCAACATGGGTTGCCCACTTGATCACGTGCCACTCGACTGCCCGATTATCCGAGGCAACAGCTGCCTACAGGCAACAGCTGCCTACAGGCACCAACATGAATTGTCTACTTGATCACGTGGCACTCGACTGCCCGATTATCCTAGGCAACAGCTGCCTACAGGCAACAGCTGCCTACAGGCACCAACATGAATTGCCCACTTGATCACGTGGCACTCGACTGCCCGATTATCCTAGGCAACAGCTGCCTACAGGCAACAGCTGCCTACAGGCACCAACATGAATTGCCCACTTGATCACGTGGCACTCGACTGCCCGATTATCCTAGGCAACAGCTGCCTACAGGCAACAGCTGCCTACAGGCACCAACATGAATTGCCCACTTGATCACGTGGCACTCGACTGCCCGATTATCCTAGGCAACAGCTGCCTACAGGCAACAGCTGCCTACAGGCACCAACATGAATTGCCCACTTGATCACGTGGCACTCGACTGCCCGATTATCCTAGGCAACAGCTGCCTACAGGCAACAGCTGCCTACAGGCACCAACATGAATTGCCCACTTGATCACGTGGCACTCGACTGCCCGATTATCCTAGGCAACAGCTGCCTACAGGCAACAGCTGCCTACAGGCACCAACATGAATTGCCCACTTGATCACGTGGCACTCGACTGCCCGATTATCCTAGGCAGCAGCTGTCTTCAGGCACCAACATCGGGGTTGTCTACTTGATCACGTGCCACTCGACTGCCTGAGTATCCGAGGCAACAGCTGCCTACAGGCACCAACATGGGTTGCCCACTTGATCACGTGGCACTCGACTGCCCGATTATCCTAGGCAGCAGCCATCTACAGGCACCAACATTGGGGTTGTCTGCTTGAGCAAATGCTGCTGGGTTGCCCGATTATGATAGGCACCATTGCGATGCGTGTAATCGTTTCGTTCATGCACATTCAAAGTGTTGCTGGCAATGTGGGTCTTCCTTTCCTTTCACCGAATTAAAATCTGTCACCCACACCGCGTTCATTCTCACACTGCATGGATCGCCAAGCACCACGTGTGTGAATGAACGAATGCACCATCATTCGGTAACCAAGAAACCATCAATATGAAACGTTGATCTTAGTTGCGCATAACATCTTAAACTTACTTTTGTTATTTTACATATATATTAAGCAAAACAAATATTGAAGTATTGGCTTTCACAGATCATCGCGGAATACAACCAACATTATTTAAGCAAATAAACTCAACTCATTCGTCAAGAACACTTTGGGTGGCCTTGAAAGGAAACATACATAACGTTTATAATAGGGCACATTTCAGGCAACGGCCCATTCGCCATAGCACACGCAATGCCACGAAACATCACGATTGTATTTGTTTCTAAGGCAATGATTCTCAAAGTGTGATCCCCAGACCAGCGAACCACCACCAGCGGTCCCGCGACGCTCCTACAGGCGGTCCGGGTTACGTGATGCACAACGCAGCTTGTTCCGCAAATCACGACAATAGTTTACATTGTTTCGCACATAAAATCACATTTGACTTCATACGGTATTTCATAAAAAAAAAAAAACGAAAATTAAGTATGTAACTGCCCTAACTACCCTGAGAATTCTTTTCTCGACTACTTTAAGCTCATTTGTTGTTTATTCCTTCCCCCGCACCTCGCATTATCACGGTTGGTAATGAACGGCGCATTTACAGTTTTGTTGCCAGTTAAAAATGGTAAAAACCTATTGCTATATCTTGCTACTGGCAAAGGAGGTCTCATAATGTAAATACTTACCCCGAGCTCTCAATACTCTGATGGTGCGTTGTCTTTGAGTTGTGTGCCTTTTGGCGTCATCTGGTCCAACCCATGTGAGACTGGGCTCTAAGGAAAGCTGTCTCGGGTGTGGACCAATCAATTTCAAGGACAGTGCATACATTATCAGAGTTGTCTTTTAGTTTGCATTTTGACCGCAAGTATTGGTGGGTTAATGCAAACATGATCCCTTGTATAAAGGCGTCAGTTTTGTCGCCAGTTAAAAAGGGTAAAAACCTATTACTACGTGCAGAGTTTTGTTGTCATGATCTGTGCACCACTGGCAGTCAGCCAAACAATTCACCGAACAATGCAACCGCTTGAGATACTTTCGCAGGCAATGACGACGACGAGGCGCAACGTTTCGCTGAATGACGGTTTTATTTCATTGCGTTATTTGGCCAAAGTGAAATGAGGTGATATCGTCAGCAGTGCTGGCGATTGTGTGAAAGGCACTTTAATAATGACATAAAACAAAGACAGATTTAATCTTATTTGTATTCGGGCTCAAAAATACTCGCAAGAGAAAGGCGGCAGCAGCAGCAGTTCTCGCGTTCGAGATCGAGATCGAGGTCACAGCCGTAACACCGGCAGCTCCACCACCACCGGCACTACCACCACTGGCACCACCCCTCCCCAACGCCTTTCTCCCCTCACCAGAGCCCACAACCGCCCACCTCACAGCTCTCGGCAAGTGGGGGGGGGGGGACTCTGTGCGTCGCCCCTCGTCACACACTCATTTACCTCTCTGCAGTTGGTCCCTCTCCCTCCGCCCTCCTGCATCAACATTCGCGCAAACGTCACAAGCGTCGGATCAGATACGCCGAAGTTACTGAACGTCATCCCTTTGCTGCATTCTACGTCTCAGTTGAAACCCGAGGACGTCCCATTACAGAACTCCCTATGGGCAGGCGGACCACTCAACCGCCGCATCGGGGTGACGCTCGGGAGATATTGGGCCTTTTCCAGGCATCCTTCGGTAACCCGACTGCACCGCTGCCACTCTGCGATTGTGCTGTGAATGTTGACAGCCAGCAGCTTGTGAGGCAGCGACTTTGCTTGGCACCGATCTACCGAGCGGTAAGCTTCACTAAAGTGCAAAAGCCACTTTTCACGATGGGACTTTTCCTCATTAGTAGTAGTAGTCGTAGTAGTCACCGGTGACTGCACTGAGGCCGTACAGCATATTACACGTCAGCACCCTGTTTGACCACAGAGGGGCACTTGAGGCTCATCCCTGTGATCCCAACCATGGCCCAAGTTTCACATTGGGCTCGAGGCACTTTGTTACAACTTGCACTCCCCAAGGCCTTCATCCATCAGGGCAATCGTCACAGGCAATAGTTGCCACAGCATTCCCCAGCTGTGTCAAAATCTCATTGCCCAAAAATCTGAACGACAATTCTGATGCAAGTTGCCCTCCTAGTGGGCGACCTGGGGCGGCAACAACGTCCAATCAGATCAAAGACGGAGGTCAGGTGACGTTTTCTGCGCCTGAAATAAATGGCGGCTTCCAAATTCAGCAAGAGTGGGAATCTGGACGGATGGAAGAGAAAGCCTTCGGATAAGTAATGTATTGTATTGAAATAATGGGCTGCATAAAGGAATGACTGTGATCGGACCTGTGACAACTACCAGGCCTGCCTCATCCCGAATAAACAAGTTAATTTACAGTCTGTAGATCAACCATTGTTCAGCATACACAATTTTCATCAAGGCTTGCTCTGATTGGCTAGATAAATGTCACTTCATTCCGGCAAAGCGCCTTTGCCTGTGATGATTGCCCTGACATTGCCAGAGTGGATAATGGCCTTTCGCTTAGCCCGTGTGTTTATTTCATCATTCTTTAGCTTAGCCTTGCGTGGTCAATCCATCATTCCGTCACGCAACCAGACTTGTGACCCCCCCCCACCCCCCTAAAAGGTTCCATCCATCACACTCAACATCCTCGGTCCGACCATGTGCTCGACTCCAAAGACAAAGATCCCCCATATAGCCTTAACAGACTTTGGCCAAGTGCTGTTAGCGAGCACCTATGAAGGCTGGCATGGAAACAAGAGGAGGTGGGTGGCCAACACCATGCCCGGCCACCTTTATCTCCTGAATGGCGAATGTTGACACACCACACCAGGTACTGATTTGAGGCCGAGTCGACCTAGAGGGAAACCCAGGACCCATTCAGATAATCGTCACTTGTGTTGGCCGTGAGCGGGAATCGAACTCGGGTCGCCGGGTTTGCGGTGCGTGCACACACACACACCAGAGTCTCGGCTCTCTCGGGCAACACCACGCTCCAGTGTCTCAGGCCTCTGTGAACAGTCAAATCCTTCACATTCTGGGGTTTGTTGCAGCCCTCGCGCTTGTCCCACACGCGCTTGTCCCAACGAGCCAACAAGCCGCGAGTCGGTTTCTTGACCGTCCCACGGGGGTTTTCGTCACGAACGCAACGCAGCCCTCTCGCTCCTCCCGCGCGTTCACACGCCGGTCTCGGCCTCTCCGTTCTCCTCGAAGAAGCCCACGGAGCGGCGCTCCGTGAGCTTGCGGAACAGCGTCTGTCTGCCGCTCAGCGTCTGCCTGAACGTCTCCGTGGTGAAGTAGTAAATGACGGGGTCCAGGCAGCAGTTGGCGCTAGCGAGCGACAGCGTGACGGGGTAGATGGTGCGCAGGGTGCGCAGCGCCGCACAGCCACCCACCGTCTCCGTGCGCACCATCGTGTACAGCATGAGCGTCACGTGGTGCGGCAGGAAGCTCGTGACGAAGATGGCCAGCGTGGCGCCGATCATCTTCTGAATCTTGTCCTTGTTCAGGGAGCTCTGCGTCAGCATCGATGTCTTCCGAATGGTCTGTGTGGGGGGGCGGGGGCGGGGTTAGAGAAAGGTCAGGGAAGGAATTGTTAATCGGCAGACAGACACTTGACCTCCTATGGTCTGAGCCAAGCGTTATTGCATGTACATTTTATACCAGCACAGCTCCTTAACGCATTTGCCATGTGGAAGAATATAATTGTCAAAATAATCCCATTATCTTCTTGGTTCTTTCGGTAAAGTCATGTAGAAGACATAAATGTTTTATTATGTTTTAAAATAAAACATAATTGTTTTATTATGTTTTATTAATATTATTATTTTATTACTTCCCTTCTACGTGACTTTACCGAAAGAACCAAGAAGATGAATCCCTGCAGTCATGAAAGCTTTAAATCGAAATTTAATCCCATCATCATCACGATCCATGGGCAGGTAGCCCTGATGTGTCCACTGCACATTTCGTCATTTGTTTCCACTTTTCTTCTCTGTCTTGTAGCGTCAATCTGCTCAAGTAGTGGCCACATCTTACTGGCGCCAATCTCTTCGTGTCGCCGTCAAGACGTTCGCTGCGAGGTCTTTCCGTCTCCTTCCATTTCTCCGAACGACACTTTTAATGCCCCTGTTGTTGTCCATCCTACATGTGGGTGTCCACATAGCGCCGGGTTCCTTCTCAGCACCGCCTGCATCATCACCAGTTTGCCTTCTTCTACCTGCAAACTTTGTCTCGCTTCTACGTTGGTCACTCTTTGGGTTCAGCTTTAAATGCAGCAATCCCATTGAACAGCCGTACAGCAGCTGCAGGCGCTACTCTGATGTCCGACTCTCTAGACGAATCATGCACGACCATCCGACCGAGGCGGTGAATTCTGTGTGATCACAGTCTTCTTCCAGTGCAGAGTTGTTGGGTTTTTTTTCCTCTTCTGAATGTGCCTCAATAAACAACGCAAATGGTTATTTCTTTAAAACAACATAGCGGCTAGGGGTAGCAATCAGATTTTTTTGCTGGGAGGAATTTCCTGTTGTTATTAGCAGCTTTCTATACGATACCAAACTCGAGTGGTCGTGCATTGTAGTTGTGGAGCCTATTGAGACGCACAAAAATACACGTGACCAACGATTTAGACGTTTGCAGAAAGCCATCAAAATACCCGAATGAGTGGGCAAACTGGAATGAACAGATGGGGTCTGGGTAGTATAAAATGTCCGTGATCAATCTTACATTCTTGTGTAATCCAGTTAAAGTATGGCACTTTGTGTTAAGAATGGAAGCATTGGAGCCAGCATTTTGGTAATAACAGTTTTGGCCAAGTCTGTGGTGGGAGGGTGTTAACGGTTTGGGTGGCAGTGTCCACACATGTTATTACACCGCATGGCCATTTTTTGGTGGGTACAACGTTGAAGTATTGAATGATGTAAAAAACTTAACCCGTAAAAACAAAGTTTTTCACTATAAATCCTTTATATGCGTGGCAGCTAGAGTCCTCTCGTCCTCTGGCTTGAGATGGCTGCCACCTATGGGTCAGATGATTGCCTGCCACCATTAAGCAATTGGTAATTAAATATAATTTTTTTTTCCTAAAAAGTGTAAAATTTTGGAAAACAATTTTCACGAAAATAAATTGTCACGCACAACGAGTCTGTGTGCAAAATGTCAGCTCGATTGGATCACGGGAAGTGGGTTAAAAAACGACAGAAAGATTTGCACGGTCGTAAGCGCGCAAGCAAGCAAGCGAACTTAATATAAAGGATTTAAAAATAAACGTTAATGTCTTTGGCAGCATTAAAGATCGCAGACGATCCCAACGGTTACATTTACCGGTGAAAACAAAAATCATTACAATGGTCCTGACCATTCCGACTGTCCAGATATGTCACAGAACATAGATAATTTGACCTCATTGTGCTGTCACTTGGCTGAAAGTATACTTGCTATACTTGCTCCTTAAAAATCAAATCCATTTGCTCGTCGACAATGTATGTAGGTATGTTGAACTTCTTTCGTACTCTACGTCACCAGCAGTGCTAATCGGAGGTGCGGGGGAAGGACAACAAACTAAACACAAAAAACACTTCTCAAGAATCTAGATTTTAAGTTTTCGTGACTGCAGGGATCCGGTAAAGTCACGTAGGTAGAAAATACAATTTATTGAATCACGACGTTTCGATTGCAACACAAGCAATCATCATCGGCTGTGACAACCACAGCAAGAAAATAAATTAGTAGTCAATCTACATGATGATTTAAAAGTGCGTAGCCCCAGTGGCTTCCTATCGGAAGGGAGAGCGTTCCAGACGGCCGCCGAAGAACATCTGAAAGCGCCGCGATGCGAGGATGGCCAGCTAAAAGCCGCTGCTGCCACTGCTGCGAGAATGACCGGGGTTCGTGTGGTTATGGTGTATGCTCCTTGTCGACAAACGAACTCTGCCAAGCCGTGTGCAGAACAGCGGCGCAGCTTGACTGCGAGTGAGACCGCATATTGTCACTGGGAAACGCGGCGACTTCCAAAGCAGCTCTGTTGACTCTGCAAAACAGCCAACTGGAAACACAGAGCCACTTTTGTTGTGTTTAAACTCTTTTTTTTTCTTAGACCGGATTTTCATGGAATGCCAGGTTGGGTTGGGTTCACGAGACTCGTGGCAATGATTCCAGGCCTCTAAAGTCATTCCCACGCGGAGGAAATGTCTGGAATTGGCCGACGTTTGCCACGGAGTGAGCAGTGTAGGTCACGGTGTAGGATCTAAAGAGACGGCAGTGGAAAGAAGGGGCAAGCAAGGGGGTGGAGTGGAGGGAATCCGAGGGTCCGAGTCTGTTGCCATGGAGGCCGCAATGTTTGTTTCTTTCATGGCAATTTTTCTCTCTTGTACAAGTTGTCAAAGTTGAAATTGTTTTTTTATGATAGATTATTTTGATTGCTGCATTGCCACATTCTTTATGAATGGCGTCCTTGTTTTAGACACTTCCTCGCATTCACCAGCTGTACAAAGTCTCCGTCACGCATACTTTGGGAGTTAGAAAAATCGCATTCACTCCCCGCAATCCAAACCCGGACCAACTTCAACATCACTATCGCTGTCTTCAACATCCACCACGGATTCAACCCTGTCCCCTTCACTCCCACCCCAAATCCTCCCCCCCCCCCCTCACACAACCCCCCTCTGAAAACAGATGATGGTTAAGGCCCTGGATGCAGCCTCTACCTCCTCCGCATCCTCATCTCTCCCGATCCTCTGTATGTGCGAATGTTGAACTTCTTTCGTACTCTACGTTGCCAACCGTGGTAATCGGATGTGCGGGGGAAGGACAACAAACTAAGGGGCCGTCCATAAATGACGTCACGTGATTTTGGACGATTTGTGACCCCCCCCCCCCCTTCGTCACACGACGTCACAAAAAGTCAGACCCCCCTCAAATATGACGTCACAAAGCTCTGCCCTCCCCCCCCCCCCCAAAAAAATCATGCTTCAAATCAGCTTTAAACTATTGTCATTGTAGTGCGTATTTAATGTGGCGCTGCACTCTGATGTTGTAGGATAAAACATTGATTAAAAAGTCTATTTAATGAAGTAGAACGTGTTGTCTATATTTATTTAAAGTTGCGAATTTTGATGTGACGTCACACTTCTCAAACCCCCCCCCCCCTCGTCACACATCGTCACAAATGTCTGACCCCGCCCCCCTCCAGGTGCGTGACGTCATTTATGGACGGCCCCTAAACACAAAAAGCAGTTTGAAAGAAATGAGTTTTCAATCTAGATTTAAAAGTGCATAGCTCCAGTGGCTTCCTAATGCGGGAAGAGCGTTCCAGACGGCCGCAGAAGCGCATCTGAGAGAGTGCGATGCAGTGACCGTTTTTGTTAGATTACTGGGCCAAAAGCTATTGCGAGGATGACCGGAGTTGGCGTGATGGTTTACGCTCCTTGACGAGATTAGCAAGGTAGTGTGGTTCACTTTGTGGCAAGCACTTTGTGTGTAGTGAGGGCGACCTTATTTACAAATCTCTCTCTTCTCTCGTCCCGTTTACATTCATTTCAAATGTTCCATGCATTCTATCCTTGACATGATTCCCCTTCCATGGAGTGTGGAGTGTGGACACAGTTACAAAGCTGCTGGTTGAAAATAAAACAGCACTGGGTGAATGGAAAGCTTAACCGTGATAATTTTGCGAGCAATTTTTGTTGCGATAAATATAATCTTTTTGTATTTGATTATGTTTCATTTTTATTATTTTATTATTTCCCTTCTACGTGACTTTACCGAAAGAACCAAGAAGAGAAATATAATCTTATGCGTAGGCTTTCACGATCAATATTATGATTTATGATTGGTTTCTTTTTGGTCAGATCGTGTTTGTACAACGTCAATATATAACTATAACCATCCTGCACCACCCAGCGATGTTGCCAATCAAATCGAGATGTCACGTCGTGGGAAATACGCCGATTGATTTGGTGAATTCAGGACCCGGATCAGGAAGCGTTTGCACGCGAGGACCGCTGAGGGAGGCGCCACGGTGGCTAGGAGATGTTAGCTCCCTCGCCTGGTATACAGCAGGTCGTGGGTTCGATCCGGACCCCGACGCCTGCATTTTTGGAGTTTGCGTGTCTCTCTCTCATCATCATCACGGTGGCTAGGAGATGTTAGCTCCCTCGCCTGGTATACAGCAGGTCGTGGGTTCGATCCCGACCCCGACGCCTGCATTTTTGGAGTTTGCGTGTCTCTCTCTGATCATCATCACGGTGGCTAGGAGACGTTAGCTCCCTCGCCTGGTATACAGCAGGTCGTGGGTTCGATCCCGACCCCGACGCCTGCATTTTTGGAGTTTGCGTGTCTCTCTCTCATCATCATCAGGGTAGCTAGGAGATGTTAACTACCTCGTCTGGTACACAGGAGGTCGTGGGTCCGATCCCGACCCCGACGCCCGTATATTTGGATTTTGCGTGTCTCTCTCCCATCATCATCACGGTGGCTAGATGTTAACTACATCGTCTGGTATACAGGAGGTCGTGGGTTCGATCCCGACCCTCACGCCTGCATATTTGGAGTTTGCGTTTCTCTCCCCCCGTGGCAACGTGGATTTTTCTCTGGGTCATCCGTTTTTTTTCTACACATTTAGAAACATCCGTTTAGAGTAGGGGGTTGCTATACAATTCCACGTGATAAGCCACTTCGTTGAGCTATCATTTATGGCCAAAAAACTATATAGCTCAGCCAGTCCTAAACTGGTAAATTAAAATAGATGCCTGCTATTCACATCTGATGAGGTTGGGTGCGATTTGTAGTGAAACGTCGTCGAGAAAAATTGTCCAAAATGTTTGCTCGCATTTTCAACTTTCCTTGTGTTTTTTTCTGAAAAAAACTAATCAATCGGAGTATTTTCCCACAACGTGACAACTTTTAATCGATCGGTTCGATTGTCGGGTAGTGGAGGGTGACAGTTAATCAATGGGCAGTGTAGCTACATGACGATCTAACCACAACGTAAACTAATTACGAATCCTCGAAGATGCATTTGCCTCCGAACCTTGTTTGCACAGAAATTTGCCGAGAAAATAATCCGACGTTTGAACAGGCAGTGACGATGGCAGCCAAAGAACACGCAAATGACCACACGACTCTCTTGAAGGAAGGGAACATCTTCAGGCAGTGACCGCTTGTTAAATTTCGATTTAAAGCTTTCGTGACTGCAGGGATTCATCTTCTTGGTTCTTTCGGTAAAGTCACGTAGAATGGAAATAATAAAATAGTAAAAATAAAACATAATAAAATAATTCTCACGACGTTTCGGCCACAACGCAAGCAGCCGTCCTCAGGTGAAGACCAGGTCTGTCGAGAAGACAGAGTCGACAGACCTGTTCTCCACCTGAAACGTCGTGAGAATTGTATTTTATGTTTTATTTTTATTATTTTATTATTTCCATTCTACGTGACTTGTTGTTTCATGGTTGAGAGCCTCGCAGAACGCCGCGGCTCGAAGCAGGAAAAAGCCCTCACGTGGGCGTCTATCCGCTTCAACTCGACACCGCAAGGGCAGCCAATACGCAACACGCACCGGGAGAGGACTACCGCCAAACTCTGCATGCGACGAGCATGACAACGTAGAGCGGAGGAGCAGGGGACCATCACCGGCGGGACGTCCGCTATCCGCGACATGGCCATCGGCCAGCACCACCGCCGTCTCTCATCAGGGCTGACAACTGATTGTGCTCCACTGTGACCACTCTGACCACATGACCAGAATCTGCCCCAAAAATAATCGAGCGGCCAAGCTGCCGAATGGAGCCAAGCGACGAATCGCCCGCGGTGAGGAGCTTGAGCCGGGATTAAATTCCAAATGGCTCACGTGGTGGAGCCGACACAGACTGAGAGTGGGTTTAGGCCGATGCAAACACTCTCGTGAAATCATGGGGGGGGGGGGGGGGGGGACTTCTGCTACAACCGAACGATGTGCTTGTCAGGAGAAGAAAACCACGGATTATCTCTTGAGATGCCCTGCAGCACCACAAAGCACTCCTCAAGATTTGGCAATGCCAACACCAGAAGCAGAGTATTGTGAAAAGACTGTAAAGGTTGGACAGGAGACACGACTAAGAAGAACAGAAGAAGTTCCCCGTCAACAATAATGGAGGGGATATTCAATCTTGATTTGATCCAGATTTGAAGGGGATATTCTTCAACTTCCCTAAACGCGTCACACATTTGGCTCAAATTTTGTTCGTTCACTTAAGACACGACTGACGAAAGCTCTCTCGCCGAAACACCGCCGCCAAGAGACGCCGCGCCGTCACCGCCGCGCCACCGCGCCGTCACCGCCGCGCCGTTTGCCCACCAGCAGGATCTGGCAGGAGCAGTACACCATGACGCAGAGCGGGATCACGAACCCGACGAGCTCCACGAACACGACCACCGCTCCGATCCTCGACCAGTCCTCCTGCGAGAAGTTCTCGAAGCACGTGGTGGCGGCGGCGGCGGCGTCGTCGGCAGCGTCGTCGTCCGACGGCGGCGGCGGCACGTTGGCCGCGCGCAGGGCGAACACCGGCGCCCCGCACAGCGCCACGAAGAGCCACACGGCGGCGCTGACGAGGCGGGCGATGCGCGGCGTGCGCAGGGGGCGCGAGCGCAGCGGGTGCACGATGGCGAGGAAGCGGTCGGCGCATATGCACGTGAGGAAGAGGACGCTGCCGTACATGTTGACGAGGAAGACCGCCTTGCTCAGCTTGCACGCGAGCTCGCCGAACGGCCACAGGCCGCCGCGCGCGTAGTACAGCACGCGCAGCGGCAGCGAGCCCACGAAAAGCAGGTCCGACACCACGAGGTTGGACATGTAGATGGTGGTCTCCGAGTGGCACTTGATGTGGCGGCAGAACACCCAGCAGGAGACGCCGTTCACGCAGAGCCCCACCACGAACACCAGGCCGTAGGCGACGGCGTAGAACGTGTTCTTGAAGTGCGCGTCCGCGGTGCACTCGGTGACGTTGAGGCCGGGCGACGGTGGCGGCGGCGGCGACGAGTCCATGGTTCGCGCGCGGGGCCTGCCGACTCCTAATCGGCGGCACGCCGCGTCGGAACGAGCGACAAATTCCACGCGGGAAGGGGCGGGAGGTTGGCTGACGGGCGGGCGTGGCGGCGGCGGTGAGGTGGTTCGAGGCGCGAGCCGGGCGCACCGTCCGCTGCCCCGTCAACGCGCTGCCACCGCATTGCGTTCGGCGAGTTACCCGTCGTTCGCTTGAGCTGCCGCGCGTCTCTCGGCGCTACATGTCCGCGTCCGGGCGGACGCGAGCTGTCGTTGTCGCGGTGCCGGGGCTTGCTACGGCACGGCTCTGCCTGCGAGCGGCTGCTGCGGGTCTCGGTTGAGTGCAGGCTCCATCACGGGCAGCTATTCTGTTAAAGGCAGCGACAGCAGCAGCGTTCCCAGTTACCACTTTGACGAGGGCACATTTTTTACAAAGTTTCATTTCGTCGCTCGACATCGTGTTGAACGTACGACACCGTATTGCAGCGAGCGGCGTTATCCACTCGTCATCGTTGTCTTTCTCAAAACCTGCTGGGTCAGTCGGCCGGCCCTTCTCGTGAGGGCACGCGTGCCCACTGGTTCTATTTGCATAGAGGCGGCATACTTTGATTCCTTTCCCGCCACCGAGGCATTTCAGTCGGGGATTTTACCCAACACGCTTCAGCTACCGCAGAGGCAATTGACAATTCAGTCCCAATCCACAGAGATGTCACAGCCAGGCTAGATTTGAAGCCTTCGTGACTGCAAGGATTCATGCTCGTTGGTTTTTTCGGTTAAGTCACGTAGGTAAACCAATTAATAAAATAAAATAAATGAAAACAACTAAGGGAGGGAGGCTTGTGTTGCCTCCAAAACGTCGTGATTTAATTGAGTTGTTTTCATTTATTTTATTTTATTGTTTTACCTACGTGACTTCACCGAAAAAACCAAAGAGGATGTCACAGCCAGGCTAGCTCGCAGTTGCGAGTGTTCCACTACAGGCAAGACGTGTCAGCCTCGTGTGATATTACAACATTGGAAGAGTAGGCCAATGCACAGAGATGCCATATAGCCAGGCTGGACCCTCGTACTGGGATGTTCCATCAAGAACTATCAGCTTCATCGGATCACCGTTGCACCTGTGCGCGTTGTAGAGGACTGCAGTGAAAGTCGGTGCGTTTCCCACGATTGCTGTGGCTGGTATACATTTTACCTCGTCTTTAATTTCTTGTAAATGTTTGTTCCTGGATCGCACGGAAAGTGATTTTGCAGCCACCGATAACTGCCACTGACAAATTGAGGCGTTTTCTGTCATAGCAGCAGAGCCAGACAGGGAAAGGCTGTGTGGCCAGTTGCATAAAACACCTTAATAAGTGACAATCTCCTTTGATTGACATTTATTTATACAGGAGGCGAGTGGAATTTTACATTGAAGTTGTTTTATGCAACCAAACCGCGTTCTTTGACTCTTTTCCAAACGGTGGCGGCCCGGGTTCGTAGCGCAGTGGGCTAACCACGGCACCACCGCTCCCCATAAATCTGGACGCGCGCTCGCATGAACGTGCGGGAATATGTTACGCACAGCCAAACTCTCGCTTTGAAACAGAGGGAGAGAAAAGTGCGTGTGGTAATCTGAAGAACACGGCATTCATTTTCAATCTCTCACCTTCAGAACGAGGTCACTGCTGACTCAAACCAAGGATTTGGGGATGCAGCGTTGACAGCGGCGATGCGCAAATCTCTCTTCGTCGTTAGGAACGTGACCATCATCGTCAAAGATGCACAATCGCAGCAGCAACATTTGCTCTACACTCACTTTTCAGACACACCTAAAGCCCCCCCTATCTCTTCAAGGTCCCCTCTCTCTTCAAGGCCCCCTCTCTCTTCAAGGCCCCCCTCCTCTGTCAAGGCCCCCCTCTCTCTTAAAGGCCCCCTCTCTCTTAAAGGCCCCCCTCTCTCTTAAAGGCCCCCCTCTCTCTATCTCCTGGCTTTCGAGCGGCACTTTACCCCGCGCCTGAGAGCCACAGTCATTGTGACGTCTGTGATGTACTGTGCACGTCACACACCACTGCAATTATTATTTCCAATCAAACTCAAGGCATCCATCAACACCACCCCGAAAAGGCAAAGAATAGCCAGCAAGCGACACCTTGAGGAACGACCCTCCTCCTCCTCCTCCCGCACACAGCTCCATCAATCACGTTAACGATCGGTGAATGAAGTGAAACACAAATTAACTCAATCATTTTGGTCATTGGTAATTGCGCTGAGAATATCAACCCCACCTTGGACTTCAAGTGTCAGAGCCCCGGAATGGATTCAAATCCGGGATCTTAGTGGAGCCACCTCCGCACTCCGACCCCAGACTCACGGGGCTCATGAGAGTCACCCAATCGAGTCACCCAACCGAGTCACTCAACCGAGTCACCCAACCAAGTCACCCAACCAAGTCACCCAACCAAGTCACCCAACCGAGTCACCCAACCACAGTCACACGACACAGTCACGTGATATCTGCGCTCCGGCACGCACACACACAGAGAGAGAACCCACCACCTTTTGAGACGTCAGCGGAGAGGAATTCGAGCCGTGCGAATCCCGTTGTTGGATCGTGTTCATAAACAAGGCACAGATTCCGTCACCCACCTGCCTCCCCCCCTACCAAAGATAGCAAAGACAAAGATCCCCCGTATAGCCTGTAACAAGACTGTCGGGGCAAGTGCTGTTAGCGAGCACCTATGAAGATCGGCACGGCACACGGGAGGGTGGGTGGGTGGCCAGCACCACGCCCGGTCGCCTTTGTCTCCCCGGTGGCGATGTTTACACACCGCACCAGGTACTCATTTGAGGCTGAGTCGACCTAAGAAAGGCCCAAGACCGCTTCAAATGATCGTCACCGGTGTTGGTGGCCGTGAGCGAGATTCGAACTCGGGTCGCCGTGTCGGGAGCGTTCACACACCTGCCCCCGACCGTGGCTACCTCTGGGTCAGCTTTCTCTGCGACGTCGTTTTCGGCCCAGATCAACCCTCTCTGCTGTGGGGCCCCCCACGAATGAATCACTCGACCGTATCAGGTGGAACTTTGCTTAATTCGTCGATCCGGGGCACACACACACACACAGACACGCACTTGAATTCCGATACTAGCCCGACTTGTTTCAAGTTGTGGAACAAAAAAACCCCATCAACATAGCGTTCCGCTCAAGTGAACGGAGGGCAAACGCTCAGCGTCCAGTGCCCAGCCCCGAGCCGAGTGTAACAATCCACCTTTCCTCCAGCACGAGGTAAGGGGCCGTCCCTAAATGACGTCACGCGATTTTGGACGATTTTTGACCCCCCCCCCCCATCTTCACACGGCGTCACAAAAAGTCAGACCTCCCCCCTCAAATATGACGTCACAAAGCTCTGCCCCCCCCCCCGCCAAAAAAAATAAAACATGCTTCAAATCGCTTTAAACTATTGTCATTGTCGTGCGTATTTAATGTGGCGCTGCGCTTTGATGTTGTATGAGAAAACATTTATCACGAAGTCTATTTAATTAAGTAGAACGTGTTGTCTATATTTATTTAAAGTTGCGCATTTTGATGTGACGTCACATTTATCAACCATCCCACCCTCGTCACACATCGTCACAAATGTCTGACCCCCCCCCCCCACTAGGTACGTGACGTCATTTATGGACGGCCCCTAAGCCCGTGGATCTTACACCCCGCAGCTGACTTCCCATCAAAGTGATGCTCGTGTTTTATCTCGCCGGTTGAGGAAGTTAAAAGTTTGATGCTCAAAGTTCCCCACCACCGTGGCCACCCGACCAGCTGGGTCGGTTTGTGTTGGGAACGGGTGGTGCTGAGATTACACCGATAAGTATTTTTTATTTCGTATTCATAAAGCGCCTTCTCATCAAGGCACTAAACATTAAAAAAACACATTAACATTGCGGGGGTGTGCAAGGGAATCGGTGACTACAACAGAGGACGGCTGCTGGTGTTGTGGCCGAAACGTCGTGAGAATTTTATTTTATTATGTTTTATTATTTTATTATTTCCCTTCTACGTGACTTTACCGAAAGAACCAAGAATATGAGTGCGAAGGGGATAAGGGGAGGGGATGTGTTCACGGTAGAGGGGGCGTAGGGGATAAGGAAGGGGAGGTGGTCATGATAAAGGAGTGCAATAGGGGTAAGGGAAGGGGAGGGAGGAAGTGGAGGCAGGGAATAGAATGGGCAATGGACGAGAGGGGATCGTGTTGGAGCAGGCGCCAGCAACCCATCGTGTGGGAGGGCATCGCCACGAAACGTTCTGGGGGGTTCGATTCTCCATCGCTCACCCAAAAGTGAAAACAAATAACTTGGGTGCTGCTGCTGCTGCTCCTGCAGTGTTGGCAGTAGTGGACAAACAAACAAAGGCAACGCAACGCATTCGGCAAAAACACCGTGTGGCGTTCAAAGGAACATTATTATAACATGTTGCATTTTATAAAACGTCGCAGACATATTTTCGACAACGTAAATATATAATGGGCAATACTTCATGGCAATGGACCTTAATGTGCTGTGTAGGAGGGCCACTGCCTGCGATGTTGCTGATTAAAGATATGATTTTCCTTTCAATGCCACATGTGCTTCGCCATATATGTGGTGGGGTAAAGTGTGGGCACTCCTACGTCTCCCAAGACGCCTAGTTCAGCAGTGGCGTAAGAAGGCTGCGTGTTGATATTCATTGTATGAATGCACTCGGTAAGAGTGATAGATTTAACACGTGTGTGTTATGACATGTGGAGAGCGGTGGTGTAGCGGTTATGGCGCTGCGCTGCAAACCCAGTGACCCAAGTTCAATTTCCGCTCACGCCCAACACCAGTGACGATTATCTGAACCGGTCGTGGGCCTCCCCCTAGGTCGACTCAGCTTTAAATGAGTACCTGGTGTGGCGTGTAAAGATCGCTACTGGGGAGACAAAGGTGGTCGTGTGTGGTGCTGGCCACCCATCACCTCGTGTGCCATGCCAGGATTTCATAGGCGCTCGCTAACAGCACTTGCGCCAAGAGTATGTGAAGGCTACACGGGGGATCTTTGTATTTATATTTATTATAACATGTGTACATGCGCCGGTGCGTGTTTGCTATGCGCGCTTGGTGTGTCAATGGAGATGCCCCCTCCCCTATCTCAAGGGATTTGGCACCAGAAATATTTGAGTGCCGGCTGCCTGCCCGGTTGATCCCAGCACACAGGCACAACCCAACCAGAGGTCGCAAATGGGTACCCGTTCCCTACCCGTACCCTACCCGAAATGAGTGACAAACGGTGACTCACCAGTGACTCATGGTCTACCCGTACCCGTACCCGGCCGCACCAGGGTCGCAAACGGCTACCCGTACCTGGCCGGGTACGGGT